TCCTATATTAGAGAAAACATTCAACTGGGTTTTAGAAAATGAAAACATTCCCCCCTCATGGCGAGAGGCAGTGATTTCAATCATACCCAAGGAAAGGAAAGACAAGTTGGATTGCGGGAGTTATCGCCCTGTAAGTCTCCTAAACAATGACTATAAACTTTTCACCTCCATATTATCAAAAAGAATAGAAGTCATATTACCAGCTTTAATACACAAGGACCAGACTGGCTTTGTCAAAGACAGACCCAAGATAATATCAGGAAAACATTGCACATTATGAGAGAAATCACACAGCAAAAACTAGAGGCGTTGATATTAAGCCTAGACGCAGAGAAAGCATTTGATTCGGTGGGATGGTCGTTTTTATATAAAGTGCTCTCAAAATTTGGATTTCATACAACAATAATTGACACATTTAAATCACTGTATAGTAAACCAACGGCTAGAATTAAAATTAACGGAGACCTGACAAACTCATTCATCTTGGAAAGGGGAACGAGACAGGGGTGTTGTGCGTCGCCACTTCTCTTCGCCTTGTTTATTGAGCCCATGAGCCAACTGATCAGGCAGAGGCCGGATATAAAAGGGGTTACAATGACATCTGGGGAGCAAAAACTATCCTTGTTCGCTGACGATCTATTGATAAGTATAACACAGCCCACACAGACTATACCAAAACTGATGATGTTGCTCGAAGAGTTCAGTTTAATTTCTGGTTATAGAATAAATATAAATAAAACTCAGGTATTAATATTTAACTATGATCCACCGCCTTCAATTAAAACTATGTACAATTGGAATTGGGAGGCTGAATCTATCAAATATTTGGGTGTTTCACTACCGAAAGACCTCTCAAAACTGTTTGATAAAAATTATGGACCACTAAATTCGAAAATAAAATCAGACTTGCATAGATGGAACGTTATTCCTTTTTTAAGTTTAAGCTCCCGGATAGAATCCATCAGGATGAACATCCTTCCACAGATGCTCTACTTATTTCAATGTCTACCAGTCAAAATCCCACCTCAACAGTTTTTAGAATGGGATAGATTAATAGCGAGGTATTTATGGCAGGGTAAAAAGGCCAGAATTAAGTTTAGAACTTTGCAATTAAAAAAAGAAAAGGGTGGGATGGGCCTTCCCTGTTTACAGGAATACTATCATGCAGCCCAGCTGAGACCTTTAGTCTGTCTCTGTTCACCATCATACACCGCAGCCTGGAAAGAAATAGAAGGCACAACAATAACAGGAATCCCAATAACAGCCCTTCTTTATGATTATAAATTACAGGAAGAACAGCAGATCCCAGACGACTCCATAACAGGTAGTTTTTTCAAGTCCTGGCAGGAGTTGGCTAAAATTTGCAGAATAGGAGACGCGTCTAAAATCATGAGGTGGTGTGCCTATGATTCGGATTTTGCACCAAATAGACTGGATGACAGATTCAAACTATGGATCTCTAAAGGATTAACTTCCTACTATTCATTTGTCCACAAAGGGATATTTCAAAGTTTTGAAACCTTACAGAAAGATCATAAACTGGGAAAAGAGGATTTCTTTAGGTACTTGCAGGTGAGACACTATTTCAACAATAACCTTAAAGAGGTGCTTAAAAAGAGCGAGTCAAGTTTCATGGAGGCATTTTTATCACTAATTAAACCCGGATCAGACGGCAAAATCATCTCCAAATTATATAAGGCTATACAGCTCTCTAAACAAGAGAATACAGAATACATAAAGAGGAAGTGGGAAAAAGAAATTAAGGTTAAAATCTCACAAGAGAGCTGGGAGGATGTTTGTCAATTGCAGTGGGTCTCGACCAGATCAAACACATGGCGGGAGTTCGGCTGGAAAAACATTATGCGATTTTTTGTTACACCCATTCAGAGACGATATCAAAACAATGGGGACGCCTGCTGGAGACTCTGTGGGTCTGAAGGAGAAAACCACTTTCACATTCTTTGGGACTGTCAGGTAATCAAAACCATATTGGGAAGAGTTCCACAAACATATTGAAAATATATTAAATGCAAGTATTCCATTAAAATGTGAAGCATTGTACCTGGGAAATCTACAATTGGACACATGGACTAACAAAGACAAAAAACTTCTGGCTACACTACTGGCTGCCAGTAAGAAGGCCATCACGAGGAAATGGATGAAACCAGACCCACCCACTATTGATGAATGGATTGAAATTGTTTACCAGATTTATGTGATGGAAAAGATCTGTTTTTCCCTCCAATTAGAAAAAGAAAAGTTTTATAAGATTTGGTCCAAATGGACTGAGTACGTGAAACCAATTAGATCCGACTTCATTTGATTGTTATTCTGAAATATGTCTTGCCCTCTAATGTCTTTGTGGTTTTTATTACTTGAGGTGGTGCAATCCCCATTACTGTTTAATTCTGTTCATTTTTTGTTATCTTTACAACTAAGTTAGTGATATTCTGTTAAAAATACCAGAAAGGCAACATGGACAAAATCACTTGGACTTTCTGCCTATATCTTTAGTTATAATCTTGAATGCATGACGCTGTGATTACTGACGTAATGGAAATCTGTCTTTCTAAATAAAAAATTATATAAAAAAAAAGAAATGCCATCTTACTCCGTGGCAGAAGAAACAAGATCTGCCATTCCCTTTCCCAAACACTTCTGCAATTGTGCACAAGAATAATTCTCTGCTAACTCGCTTTGGTGGCCTTGTTGACGATGCTCTTGTCTACATCTGGTTTGTGGTTCGATAAATTTTAAATTCAGTCTTCATCACCTCACATACCTTCACATACAAGATACTGATCTTGTATGAGATAAGCTGTCATTGTTTTTTCTTTGGTCAATGCAATACGCTTCTGTAAATCCTGACACATTTAGAGAAATGTTTATTAATGTGTCTTGTCCCTCACAAGAAAAAAAACAATGATTCTTTCTGAGGGGAATTTGAGAATTATCAGATCAGCTGAGCGCTTCATTGGCCAGCCTGTGTCCGGAAAGTTGTTAACTTGTCCAATTTTAACCATTTTGAAGGGCTGATGATGGAGCTGATGGTGTGTTTGGTCTGGGTGAGAACATTCAGTGTGGAATTGATAACCACTGCTATTACTGATTGATTTTATTGATCTCACAGCGGAGTATTTTACTAATATGTGCTGATGTGTCTTACTGTTTGCCGAGGCTGCACCACATTACCAAACTAAAAACAGTGCAGTTACAGGGAGGCAACGATGGGAAATAATGTGCAAAACCATTTTCTAAAGGCTTTTAGTGGTCTTGGTTATACAAAAAAGCCTATGTATAACCTGTGTGCTGTTTAAACTGATTTTTGTTGGCTGCAAATGGCAAAAAAGTAAAAAAAAAAAAAAAAAAGATGTTTCCTTTTCTGTTGATGGGGTTGATCCGCCTTTACTGTAGTGGAGATATTGTGAACATACATGATATTAAGTAAAAAAAACTAAGACATGTAATCCTTAAATTCTTTGAACAGTCAGTTTCAAATTAATACGTAGACGCCTCATCCAGTGCTTTGGCCCGTACATCTGTGTCCTCCATATTGGAGGAGTCAAAGCTACGCTGTAAACTAATAGAAATAGGATTTTAAGCACACTTTAAGAGCAAATTTTAGGATAACGCTCTAGCTTTAGTGGTGGGTCCAGCAACCCCCATAACCACTCTGATTTAAAACATTAATAAATTGCCACATGTTGTCTGACAACAGTGTCAAACTTCACTTGCGCCCCTTCTCCTGTTTGTACGGTAAATCCCTGCAAAGCGTCCGGGACTGCAGTGAACTGCTGACAGAAAAGATGACCCTGCACATTTAGACGATGTTTGCCTCAACCTGCTGCTGTGAAGCAGGATTCCCCTCCATGAATGTAATCAAAAATAAATCTGGATCCAGGCTCAAAATGAGCTCCTTGATATGTGCTTTAGAATGGCTTAGTCTCCATTCAAACCCAGGTTTAAAGCCTTGCAGGGCAGCATAAAGCCCACGGCCAACATTAAGACGGAAAAAAGAAAATAACAAATGCTCAGTTCAGGTATTTATAAAACATGGGAATCAGGAAATTGTCTACAAAACCAAACTGAAAACAAAAAAGCACTTTAGATTTAAAATGTAAAAATGTTTTTTTTTTTTTTTTAAGTTGATTCAATTCAGTTTATTTCTATAGTGCCAATTCACAACATATGTAATCTCAAGGCACTTTACAGTTCACCAGATCATTCAGTCAAATTTTATGCATCCGTATAACATGGATGCATAAACACCTCCTTTTACTTCAGTATTAAATTCAGTTTAAAGTGACAGATTGTATTTAAAAAATGACTCTGGACCTTTACTGGTTGTTGATTTTCTTTATTCAGACCCCACTGATTTCTAATTGGTTATCCCTGTACTGGGTCATCAAATCAATTCAGTTTAGTCTGTCAAATAAGCTGCCTGTAGTGCCTTTAAATGTCCAGCAGGTGTTAGTATTCTGCAACACAGTACCAACGCAGTATCAGTAGTTTGGCTCTAATGTGTCCAAACACTTCAAGATGCCTGATTAACCATCACTACCTAGGAATAGTTGAAACACACACTAAAGTTAACGAGGAAAAGGTATCAAATATATTAAATATATTTATATATTAAAGGTTCTTTGTTTAATACAGTAACTTTATTGATCCCACACACCAGTAATTCACATTTCATGAGCTCTAAAGTAATGCAAAAAATTATTTGTATGGTAAACAATTTACCAAACAGTAAGGTTTGTTTCAGTATATGTCATTTAATTCTAGTTAGCAAAATAAATATTGTCAATATTTTCACAGCTCAGATTCCCTTTTCAGATATTTCATCTTTAATGTCCGTCTATTCCTGTCTCGCAGGAAGACGTTTTTGATTAAATTAACTGCAGTTTCATTACATTCATTGGAACTTTTAAGAATATATGTTACAAAAACAAAAAGGGTTTACTATAAATAGGATCATTAAATCTGCACCCACATTCAAGGCAGAGGTAGGAAAAAATATATTTACTGTAAGTGTGGTCTTCTCCAGCCTCACAGCCTTGGTCTGCAGATATTTATTTAACCTGTACAAAAAACAAAAACGACACAATTTCAATTTATGATGCATGTTTTTTGTTTGAGTATAGGTCTAAGAAGTCAGAGTAACAGAAAGGTATTTGGTGTTTATACATGTGGATGCAGTAACCGTAAGCCGCCACTGGAGGACACTAGAGGATCATAAACAAGGAGAGCTGTCCGTAAAAATTCAAAAAATATCCACTGGACTGCGAGTCCAGAGGATATTTTTTGAATTTTTACGGAATGACTATGACCTGGATGACTGAGAATCTTCATCAGCAAGGAGAGCTGTTGATCGAGCTCCGTGTGTCCTGCTGTTGCAGGCATCTCCTCTCAGCGTAAATTATCATTAAATGGAAACAAACACGGCTGGGAAATGGGTAGATAAATCTAGATCATATAAACTGGCGAATCTTCTATTCAGATTTAACTAAACAGCGAGTATCAGGGAGTAATTTTAATTTTAAATGCCAGCCAATCATGTTAGGCCTGCTTTAAGTTCCCATCATGCATCTGCGTAAACAAAAGGCTGAATGAACAGGAACTCTTCCAGGATCAAAAGTAATTTGGGTCAAAGTTAGTAATATAGAATTGATCAATCAGATAATTACATCTCCAGGTTTGACAACACGTTTTTATTTCACCAGAAACCTTCTATAATAAAAACGAAATAAATAACAATAAAACATTACACCGACTTGGTGGGGGATGCACTAAGGTGGGGGTATAAATCCTTCTCCAAGCCTCCGTTAGAGTGTCCTAGTTTACTAGGACATATACTAAAATTGGAACGATACAGAGAAGATTAGCATGGCCCCTGCGCAAGGATGACACGCAAATTCGTGAAGCGTTCCTCATTTTTTATCTTTTATAAATAATTAAAACAATAATAAATAGTTTCAGTTTTTCCACTTGTTCCCAGTTCGCGGGCTGTGTTCTAAACATGGGGAAGCGTCCTTCGAAGGAAGCAGCAGGTTTTGTTCACTGTAAGGTTGAGAGCCAGCCACTTGGTGGCGCTGTTGTTCCCATTTTCCAGCGCAAACAAGACTACGATAAATGTCGGACTTTCAAAGCCGAGTTAAGGTGCCTTTTTGTGGTATACCAAAAGCAGACGTGAAAGTTGCACACTAACACCTACTAAGTTCCATTAGAAAGCTGAGAAAATTCTACCTTACCTGAGCTGCGGAGATAAGCTAGGCCTTGACCTTTCAACATGGCAGAGCGCGACGTGACTCCGCAAGCTAGCGCTGCATCCATCCTTAGCCTAAACACGCTGTAACATATTGATAAAAAATAATATCAGCTTTTAACCTTGTGTCGTTTTTGAAATTACCATTATTGTTTGATTTTACCAGATGCTCGCTAGCCGTTACTCCACGCAGTGGATGCATCCTCCTCTCTGGGCGCGAGGCCAGACACTGAACACCTGCTGGTCAATTTGCTATGAAGCTTCGGCAACGCTTCGGCTGCTAAATTATATGGCAAGCCGATTTGATATTTATTAGCTGACCGCATATACAATCCAGATGTCTCGAATGAATTTCCTCCCAGTCAAAATAAACATTTTAGATATCTAAAATAAAAAAAATGTCATCTAAAATAAACATTCCAAATGTAATTTTTACTAGTAAAAATGACGTCACTTTTCCATTTCATGTGTATAGGGCTTGGTCGTCATGACGTAAGCAGTTTAGGTTGCCGCCATATTGACGGCCTCTTTTACCGCGGCTCAGACTACTGCCTATGACTACCGCATACTGTACTCCTTCTCAGCCTGATTAATTTGACCTTAACTTGATTTCAACCATGGTAAACCGTTGCTGTATTGTGGGCTGTAACAGCTCAACACATGATCGCCATGGGAAAAACATAGAAAATGGGTTAACTTTCCACCGCTTTCCTGCCTGGAGGCGTAACCATGGAGACCAAGCGTCAGAGAAAAAGAGTCGTCGGCTAGCTTGGATCGCGGCTGTAAGACGAGCGAACATAACTTTCCACAGTATTCCAATGTCAATGAGAGTGTGTTCCCTGCATTTTCATTCTGGTAAGGTAAAGATGCACGGTTTTATTTTATAGCCTACTTTGTTTCTTTCCTTCAAAGTTGGGATCTTTTACGGGAAAATAATAAAAACGGCAGCGGGAAAAGGCTCAAATACGTGAGAAACCCGGAGGGTTGGCAGTTAACGTTACTAACTACACCTTTGAAACACATAGCAGCTAGTTAAAAGTACATTACATGCGTGAGTGGTTGTTAGGATTAGCAGTTAGCGGTTGCTAAACTAGCAGGTTCCAGAGCCCGTCTGATCACAGCTTACCTTCGTACGGATTACTGTGTTCCCACTGTTTGCTGGCTTTATGATCTGCAGCTCCTGAAACCATCCATTCATGAACTGCATATGAGACTCCAAGGACTTGTAGCTTCGGAACTGTTTTGAAGTATAGGCGCTCACTCATCGGTGCTCCACTCATTGTTTGGAACTTTATATGGATCCAAATTATTAATAATGCTGATTTTGTCAACATACCGGTCCGAGGCTTCTCTATTTAATGTGTCCTGGTAAATTCCAGATCTTTTTCGGGATTTTGACATCTTTTTTCTCTCTACTTCTACGTCTCTTCTTTGAACAACAACGTTGTATCAGAGCTATGTTTACGTTTGCGTAGCCGTCAATATGACCGCGACGTCCCACAATGCAACGTGGATCCCGAGCCCTATAGGGCTTTTACCTACAGAAGAAAATAAACATTCTTCCTATGTAAAGATTTATTCTGATGAGGATGAACTCTAATTTTGGATCTCCATAATATAGTTACAGCTAGTTATAATGACAATTTCAGATATCAAAACTGAATATAACATTACAGATATCCAAAAATATATTTCTGCTAGTAGAAATATAATTACAGATATCAACTACTTATTTTATGACTAGTTAAATTAGAATTCCAGATATCTCAATTTAAATAATGTCTATCTAATCATGTAAAAGAATAATGAGGCTCCGTTTTAACATAAAATATGCAGGCTGACTAGTCACATTTCTATTACAGATGGCACTATATTACAATTACAATATTTCTAGTCAGAACTGTATTACAGATATCACTAATTATATTTCTACCAGTACTAAAGCATGCTACCTAGTCACAATTACAATTAAATTTCTTACTGGTACAAATTACATCACTTTTCACCATTCATGTGTATTGGGCCGTTACTTTCAGATATTCAGTGCAAATATTCAGTTATTTTCGGAAATGATATTACTTCTATCTAAAATAAACATTCTGGATGGCTAAAAAGGAATTTCAGATCTCCTTAATTCATTTGTTACTGGTCATAATTTGTATTTCAGATATCAAGAATCAGTGAAACAGCATATCATACGTAGTTTAAGGCTTTTGAAGCTAGTCAAGCAAATATATGTTAAAACGGCCACTTAAAATGAGTAAAGATTTATAGATAGAAATGTAGCTCTTACTAGTACCCATTCGATTCCAGATTACTTAAAATGTAATTAATGCGGGTAGAAATGTAATTAGTGATATCTAAAACACAATTCTGACATGGAACATTGTAATTGTGACTAGGTAGAATGCTTTATAACTATGATATTTATATCTATTATATCTATAATAGAAATATGACTAGTCAGCCTGCTTATTTTCTGTTGAAACGGCGCCCCATTATTTTTTTTACTGTTAGTCAAAATATGTTTATATGTTTAACTATCTAAAACTTAATTTTGGATTTTGATAACTGAAATTCTAACTTAACTAGTAATATATCAATAGTTATTATCTGTAATTATATTTGTACTTGTAATTTCTGATGTCAGCAATTGGATTTCTGGATATCTGTAATGTTATATTAGTTTTCTATATCTGAAATAATAATTTTGACTAGCAGTAACTCTACTACTGAGATGTGAAATTAGATTTCATCCTCATCAGAATTCCGTTTTAGATAGGAAGAATATTTATTTTAGATATCTGGAATTAAAAGCCCAATACACATGAATGGGAAGCATGACGCCATTTGTACTACAGTAGTAGTAATTACATTTCAGATTTCTGAAATGTTTAATTTAGATTAATTAAGATCTCAAATTGAGAGATCTTCATTTTTACCAAGAAGAAATGCATTTGAGACATCTGACATATACATTCAGTCAAACTAATGAATGTCAAAAGGGCCACTATGTTTCTGAAAGTTTATTCTTACTTACGGAAGCTGAGAGCGTTCGTACTCGACTTATTTTTTTCCCTTCGTCTTCTCGAGATGATAACATAACTATTTAATTATTACGATTAAACCATTCATTGTTTTCTCCAGATAACAAGATAATAATGTCGTTATCATGAGAAAACAGTTATTGATTTCCTGAGATAATGAGATAATTAACCATATGAGCAATGAATGAAGCTGGCCAACAGCCCTGGATTCCCTGTCCATCCGTGCCTGGATGTATGCAAATATTCAGGTTTTTAGTTTACTTTTTTTCACTCATTGTCAGGTGGTGGTGGATAATTTGATTGCATAGAATACAGTAGAAGCACTGAATCGGAATCAGACTTTTTAAAATGAAAATCTTTAACCTGGGCTCATTTTGGGGGTTAATGCATCTTATACCTGTTACAGGCGAAACACCGGGGCTGTTCAGAAAACACCTGGCACTGGGGCACCAGAGGCATTAGTCTAATTGCTTATGAATCAGAAGTGGAAGCAAATTATTAAACCAACAACATTGTCTCATCGCCTAAAATTTAAACACAGGATTATTTACAGAATGACACACAGGCTGCCATGACTTGACCACATGACTTGTGGTATTGAAGGATGTAATCAGTTTTAACAGACACCAATCATCTCGCTATGACAACAACTGGCTTTCATTATCTTTAGATATTGAGAAAATTAACTTGTTTTCTCAGAACACCACAACATACACGTGGGCATTGTCAGTTCCACTATAGCGCTGGTGAATTTCAATGGTGAAGTCCTTTGGAAATCTTTGTAATTTGTAAATAATTGTTGTTGATTGCAGATGTGTCTAGTAGTTCCCATTGATTTTGCTTGTAAAGCGGGGGGAATGGCGCTAGGCTTACCGCACCGTGACGTCACTGCCGGAAGATGGCAGGAGGGAGGGGTTACTATATTTGGGCAAAAATGGCCGCTTCCAGACTCAGTGATCGCAACGAAAATATTTCTTTTTTTTTTTTTGCTAATTAATGAGAAATTCATTAAATCACAGCAAATTTATTAGTTTTAGTTAGTGACCGGACTTTTCCTTTAAATTAGAGTCTCTCTCCCTGAGTGCATTGGTTTATGGGCATGTTTTGTTGCTTTTCAATTTTCCTTAACCAGTTTTAGCCCATTTATTTCATGAGGAATTTCTCTTTTTAAAATGTTTGACTCACATTTTACTCCAACATTATTTAATCTCTGGGACACAGCCTTGGATGCAGAAAACACGCTGCTCAAAAAGATAGAGGTTGGATGTGCTTACAGCAAAATCACATAAAAATCAACAATGGAAATCAAAGTTGGAGGCCTGGATTTTGAGTCACACACTAGACCGAAGTGGAAAAACAGACTACAGGCTGATCTAACTTTAATATAATGTCCCTAAAACAGGTCAAAATGAGGCTCATTATTGTGAGTGGCCTCCACAGGCCTGTATGACCTCTCTATAAAGGCTTTGCTCCTTCAGTGTGTGTACACCCTCTTTCTCTGCTCCCTGCTTGCTTGCACTTTCCAGTCCTTTTATCTCCTTTTTGTCTCTTAACCAAAACTACAGAAAGTTGGATTTAGTTATTTGATTTATTTTCTTTGATTTATTTTTTATTTATATTTTTTTCCCTGTGTGGACTATTTTAGTTTTCAGCTATTCCACACAAGATTCCTCTCTACAACAGCCCAGAGGAGGCAGTTATCATGAAAAACCTTCTTATGGAAAGACTTCAACACCAAGTGGATATGGAGAAGAACCATCCGATTCAAAGGATGCCTACCTTCAGCATGGAGGACTTTGTCAAGCTTCTACAGAAAATAGCTGTCAAATAGCTGAAAATCCACCAATTTGAAGTGAACTATGATGTAAACGCTGCGTATGGAAGTGAAACAACGCTGCCTGTAATTCCGAAGGCAGACCACCAGCCCAGCAACTCAGCAAACAAACAGTTCCCAGAGGAAAATGAGAATCCCTGGACCACTCTGGGTGCTAGACCAAAGGATCAACGAACCCCCCACCTAGACAAAGAAACCTGGCCGAGACCACAGAGAGGTGACCCGCGAAAAGTGAAACAAAAACGGGATGTTCTCACAACAAATGAACTCCACTCCACCAGGGCCTGCAATGAACTTGCTAATTTCTTTACTGAGAAAATCCTAAAGATCAGAGGATCAGTTTATACATCCATATCAAGTTCAGTACCAAAGTTGTCT